ATTTTTTTGTTTTTTTTTTGAGGCAAGAGTTTTACTCTGTCGCCCAGGGTAGAGTTCAATGGCGCACTCTCAGCTCACTGCAACCTCTGCCTCCCGGGTTCAAGTGATTCTCCTGCCTCAGCCTCCCGAGTAGCTGGGATTACAGGTGCGTGCCACCACATCCAGCTAATTTTTGTACTTTTAGTAGAGACGGGATTTCACCATGTTGGTCAGGCTGGTCTTGAACTCCTGACCTCGTGATCCGCCCACCTTGGCCTCCCCAAGTGCTGGGATTACAGGCATGAGCGCCTGGCCAGTAATCTCTTAAGATTTTTGCAAACCAACCAATCAAAATGCAAAGGACTGAAATGGAACAAGACATGCCTTCATCTTGTGGCAAATACTGAATAGAATTTTCCCTGTAATTTGGCTCTATTCAAACCCAATCTAAAGGCAAGATAGTTCTCAATTACAGCAGAGTTCTAGAAATAACTGTGAAGAACCCTGTCACTAAAACTCAAGCACCCACCCCAATCACCATTCCCCACCATTATTATTCTCCCTATCACACTCAAAAGTGGTGAATTAGGCCAGGCGCCGTGGCTCATGCCTGTAATCCCAGCACTTTAGGAGGCTGAGGCAGGCAAATTGCTAGAGCCCAGGAGTTCAACACCAGCCTGGCCAACATGGCAAAACCCCATCTCTACTAAAAATACAAAAATTAGCTGGGCATGGTGGTGCACGTCTGCAATCCCAGCTACTCTGGAAGTTGAGGCACGAGAATCACTTGAACCTGAAAGATGGAAGTTGCAATGAGCCGAGATCACGCCGCTGCACTCCAGCCTGGGCCACAGAGCAAGACTCTGTCCTCAAAGAAAAAAAAGGAAGTGGTAAATCAAACTCACATGAATTCCTCATCTTTTGTAGTCCGTATGCGCACATAGGCATCAATGACAGCTGGTTTTCGGACTGTCTCACAGCGAACATACTCTTTCCCTTCTTCATCTCGAAACGTGCGATAAATCTTGAGACAGCGTCCAGTGGCAGAAGAGTTAAGGCTAGTCACGGAAGCTGTGTCATCATCTCTGTGATTGTTTCCTGATGCTGCTGAGCCTGCTGCTGCAAGGTAAGTAGAAAAGATTTCCAAACGTTCCCCTTATCTCCCAAATGATCATTTTCTTGGGGTTGAGTGGAGATATCAAAACTCAACATGCCACAAAAAAACTATGGTTCTACAAAAAGCATCAAAGTCATCATCATCCCCAAGAATATGCTGATTTGTCCTTTCCTGACCTCATTTTAGGCACTGCCAATTTCCCCACTTTTTTTTTTTTTTTTTTTTTTTTTTTGAGACAGGATCTCTCTCGCTCTGTTGCCCAGCCTAGAGTAGTGGTGCAATCTCGGCTCACTGCAACCTCCACCTCCCAGGCTCAATCCATCCTTCCAGCTCAGCCTCCTGAATAGCTGGGACTACAGGTGTGTACCACCACACCCAGCTAAATTTTTATAGAGACGGGGTCTTGTCATGTTGCCCAGGCTGGCCTCTAACTCCTGGGCTCAAGAGATAGGCCAGCCTTGGCCTCCCAACATGCTGGGATTACAGGCCTAAGCCACACGCCCGGCCAATTTCCCAACTTTTATAAATACAAAAAGTTCTGAAAGAACCTCAAAGAACTACATGTTTGCTATAGGAGATAGAGAAGCAGATTCCTCTGAACAACAGTGCAAGAGAAAAGGCCAGGTAGGCAGTGGATGATGATCACATTACAAATAAAAGCACGCAAGGCTGAGTACAGTGGCTCATGCCTATAATCCCAGCATTTGGGGAGGCTAAGGTGGGAGGATCGCTTGAGCCCAGGAGTTTGAGACCAGCCTGGTCAACAAAGGAAGACACTGTCTTTACAAATGCCTTTAACTAGCCAGGTATGGTGGTACACACCTGTGGTCCCAGCTACTCAGGAGGCTGAGGTTCTTGAGCCCAGGAGGTTGAGGCTGCAGTAAACAAGCCATGGTTGCACCACTGCCCTCCAGCCTGGGCAACAGAATGAGACCCTGTTTCCAAAAAAAAAAGTACCCAAGCACGCAACTCAGGGGGAAAAATGGCACTACAAAAACAAGTTCCGAGTCTTAAAGCCTAACATATGCTTCTCAAACATTAATATGAATAGGAATCACCTGGGGATCCTGTTCAAATGTAGGATTTTTTTGTTTTTTTTTTGAGGCAAGAGTTTTACTCTGTCGCCCAGGGTAGAGTTCAATGGCGCACTCTCAGCTCACTGCAACCTCTGCCTCCC